CCCCCGTGGCATCTCCCCCCCGTGGCATCTTCCCCCCGTGGCATCTTCCCCCCCATGGCATCTCTCTCGGGAGCTGTTGTCATGCTGAGTCTGGTGAGGTGCTGGGACCAAGGGTCAGCACAGAGCAGACCCCCATGCCGGGAGGCTTGGGGAAGGTGAGCCAGGGCTTTGTGGGAAACCCAGCGGCTCTGCCTGCTCACCTCTGGCCTCCATTTCCCCATCTGTTGCCCAAGATGGGCTGTGGCTGAGACGCCATGGTCCAGGCCCAGGACTTGCTGATGGCCCACAGGTGTGGCCACCAGTCCCAGAGAGTGACCCCACAAGAGGTGGAGCTTAGCCCACTGGCTCACCAGCCCCCAGCTGGACACTCACCCGCTCGCTGACCATGTGGTACCTGCTGACCAGCTCCTCACGCTCAGCGCCAGCCTGGGCCAGCAGGGCCTCCAGCCGGGCCAACTCCTCCTGCAGGAGCTCACTGTCCTCCTGAGCCCTGGCCGTGGGGCTGGGCAGCTCCTGCACCCCTGTGAGCACAGTGTCCAGGTCAGCCTGGGAGGGGGACAGTCCAGCGCAGCCCGGGAGGGGGACAGTCCAGCGTAGCCCGGGAGGGGGACAGTCCAGCACAGCCGGGGAGGGGGACAGCCCAGCGCAGCCCGGGAGGGGCACAGTCCAGCACAGCCCCCGGGAGGGGGACAGTCCAGCGCAGCCCGGGAGGGGCACAGTCCAGCACAGCCCCCGGGAGGGGGACAGTCCAGTGCAGCCCGGAAGGGGGACAGTCCAGCACAGCCGGGGGGATAGTCCAGCACAGCCGGGGGGATAGCCCAGCGCAGCCCTGGAGGAGGACAGTCCAGCACAGCCTGGGAGGGGGACAGTCCAGTGCAGCCGGGGGGACAGTCCAGCACAGCCGGGGGGGACAGTCCAGCGCAGCTGGGGAGGGGGACAGTCCAGCGCAGCGGGCTTCCTGCTCTACGCCTCTTCTGTCACCTGGCATCGTGCCCCCTCCCTTCTATCCACACCTTTCACCCACACCCAGGCCGGGTTGAGCCCTAGGAAGAAAGGAATGCAGCAGCCTGGCCTGATGGGTGGGTGACACGCCCGGCAGGGGGAGGGGACCTGGCCCCGGGTGGGGTGACAGGGCTGGGGGAGGGGACCTGGTCCCGGGTGGGGTGACAGGGCTGGGGGAGGGGACCTGGTCCC